ATGGAGGGGGGAGGAGAGGGAAGGATGGAGTTCCAGAAGGGGGAAGAGAGCAAGCCATGGCTTAGCACCATTGCTAACCTGGCATGGCTGGGGTTCAGAGGTTACTTCTCTAAGGTGCTCTGATTCTAGAACCATCCAAATCCAGCAGAGTTTCATCCTTTGAAAGGGTTCTGGCACATTTGTTGCTGCAACCAAGAAACCTGCTATGAAGTTTTGGAAGGATTCAGTTAGGGAGGACCTGGCTGTAAAATTGCAATCACAGAGAATGACAGAGTTTCCATTCATGGAAAAGATTGTCTCATGCTCCTTTGCATGGATTCAAACATAATTTTCATTTGTTTCCCACTTGCTCTGGGATAGGGCATGTGTGAGTGCGTCTATGAGCTCCGTGGTTTTCTTTTGTTTGCAAGAGTGTACCACCTGCAGGGATGGGGTGAAGTCTGAAAAGGATATGAGGGACTCATAAACCTGCCAGTCTCTGAGAATTTTAAGGTTGTTTTATGCTTTCAGCCACTTCTGCCACCCCGCAAAACACTCACACACACACACATACGTTTTGTGCAGGGGAAAAGTAAAGCATGCTGTTGTTTTGCTAATGCATGTGGTTATAAGGCTGTTGGAGGATCTACCTGCAGTGTTTCACGTGTCTTAGATTACACATTCCCTAGGAGTGAAGCCTTCTGCTAATCTCTTCCCTCTTGTCCTGTGCACAGAGAAGTCCTGAGCATGGGCCTTTAATACATGAGTGAAAAAGTAGCAAAATGGAAACTCCATTCCACTGGGGGGGTTAAGTGGGGTCAGCCCCACTGAAGTCTGGGTCCTTTATATCCAAAGTCAATCCTGGGAAGCTTCTGCTCTCACTACCTGGCCCCCTCTTCACCCAGAGTCCCTCATGCCTTGTTTCTAGCCCTCCCTTCCCCTAGCTATTGCAGTACCCAGGTGTCTCCCTGGACTGCAGGGTGAGGCAGGGGGAGCGGAGGGCTGAGCTCACAGCTGGAAATCCTCCAAGAAGGGGAGAACCTGCGTGGGCCTGAGTCCGCCAGGCAAGGTCTAAGTTCCACGCTTGGCAAAAGCAAGTAACGTCAGATAACAGACATTTGTTTCCAGCCCTTCGGCAGTTTTCCAGACACGGAGAGAGGCTGGATGCCAACTTCTCCAGTCACGTGCAACTGAGTTTTAGTTTGAGCTGTGGAAACAGGGGCCTGTAGGCGAGACAGCAATACATTGTAGCAAAGAGAAGCTGCTGAGCCCTCACGATCTCATGGCTCAGATCTTCCTTAGCTCTGGCCTGGTATTCTGGAGCACAGAGCAAGTCACCCTGGCAGGAAAGAGAAGGGAGACACGAAGAACTCAGGGAGGATTAAGAGGTGGTGACCTCTGTCTTCCCCAGATCAGGGTGTTGCTATTGAGACTGTCTGGGGCACCCTCAGTCTCCTTCCCTCACCCCAGGTGCTTTGTTCATTGCACTTAAAGGTTGACTCCACAACCACATATGTGCCCAGGGCTGCAGGTGCAAGCAAAAATCAGGACAGGCTGGCCTGGGTGAGATGCTGAGGCTGTAAAGTGTTGATGAATTGATTTTTATCGTGACCAAATTTTTGCTTCATGATCATTGAAGAATTGAGTAGAAGAATTGAGTAGTTGAGAGAGGACTTTGGGGAAACAGTACCTCGAGAGGTGGTCCTGGGAGGTGATGCATGCTGAGACTTGCGTGGTAAAGAGCCTACCTGTCCCTGAGAGTAGGGGCTTGTTGAGCAGAACACTTGGAGCATTCTGGGTGAACACTCTTGTATTTGCGACAAGAGTGCAGGAGGGTGAGGAAGAACCTCCTCAACAGGAGGGGAACCTGGTGAGGACTCCATGCAGCATAAGGGGAAGGGCAGGGTTGGGTGCGGGAGGGTAACAGGAAATACAATCACTTGGTCTAAATCTAAGAGCTGGAGTTGGCCTTCACCAGTGGCTGCTGAGTAATGGGATTTGGGAGTTCCCTCATATGGGCTGAGTCTGATAATTATACCAGGCACTTGGAAAATCTAAGGGCGTGAGGTCTCTCTGAAACACAGACTCTAGGTGTCTGAAGAATAAATGGCAAGGGACCTAAGTTTCAGCTAAGCCTTTGCTTTCTAGACTAGGGGATCTAGTTCTTTGGCAAGAGGACTGGGACCTAACTGTCCAGTAACCTTCGGGCCTTCTCACTGCTAGGTCAAGAGCTCAGAGGGACTCTTTTCAAAGTGGGTTAAACATCCTAATACCTAGACCAGGAAGAGGAGTAGAATGTCTTATTCAGATTCACTCTCAATGCTTCTGCCAATCACTATACTGCTCTCCTTTATTTCAAAGTTAAAGAGCACACACCGACTGAGCGGCTGCTCTCAGAGAACGAACAGGCTCTCTGAGAAAGGTTGAAGGCAATCATGCAGCTGCCCTGCAGGGTGCACATTGGGAAGTCCCCCTTTGCTGACCAGCCATGCCAGACTACAGAGATCTACCTGTAAAACACTACCCCTCTCCCAGCATGTTCTAGGACCTGAAGAGTTAGCAACACAGTGAGTGCAGGAGACGCAACCTGGAGTAAGTCTTGGTTTCTATTCTATTTGCCAACAACCACAATTGAGTGGCTGGTCTCACTCAGAATCTACAGATCCAAGGGAAAGAACACTCTCTGATTATCTCAGAACCCCTATAAAAGGTAACTGCTCAAAGGGGATGGGCAGTGCTCTTACTTTAGTCTCTCACTTGAAAATATTCTGTTCCTGGGGACCCAATCATTAGTTGTGTCCATTAGAGCAGTCCAGGGAAGTGAAGTGGCCAGCCTAGCAACAGTTGCCTATGCAATGGGAATTGAACTATAAAGCAATTCAGTTTTCTCTTATTTTAGAAATTGAGAGATGAGCTTCTCCAAGATTCTATATAGGGGGTGTAGAGTCATCTCTGTCCCCCAGTATCTGTAGGAGATTGTTTCCAGGTCCCCTGTGGATATCAAAATTCACAGATGCACAAGTCTTTGAAATTATGTCATTCTGTATGTACCCTGTGCAGGTTATATAGTTTAAATCCTCTCTACATTACTCACAATGACAAATACAAGAAAATGCTGTTATTTAGGGACAAACGGTAAAAAAAAGTTTGTGCAAGTTCATAGTACAGTACATTGCATTTTCTTTTGCAGTCCATAGTTGGCGTAGTCCAGGGATATGGGAACCTGTGAATACAGGGGCAGATCGTACTTGTTTCTGAGGTCTGTTTGCAGAAGGCTGACAGCAAAAATGCAGCGTCTAGAGAGGAACAACACAATGTCTTCAGGGAATTGGCTCACTGGAGTTAAATCTCAGCTTTGCCACAAACTAGCTGTGACTCTGGGCAGATCACTTGATGTTTATATGGTTCAGATTCCTCAGTTAGCAAAGGAGGAATGAGACTAAATGTATGGGCTTCCAGGTCTAACTTGATAGATTTGTTCCTGTTCAGTGCGTGGGAGCAGAGTGGAAGGAACAAAAGAAAAGAAACACGCTCCCAACACACTGGTTCAAAATTCACTCCAGATCTCCCCACAAGAGGTGGGAACCCAATCACTAGAGCCATCACTGCTGTGTCACATTAGCAGGAAGCTGGAACAGGAAGCAGAGTGGGGTTTGCATCCAGGCACTCCGATATGGGATGCAGTTGTCTCAATTACTAGCCCAAGAGCCCACCTTTTAATGTTTACTTTTGGTAAAGAATTTCAAACTTGCCAAAGGATATGCAATGAATGTATTCCGATGTAGACTCACCCACTCCCACAATTCTCAATTTATGGCCAGTTTTGTTTCATTTTTATCCCCAGCTATTCTTGCTCTGTAATTTTGAAGGAAATTGCAGATACTGTCCTTCATCTCTCATCCCCGTGCTGCCCATTTTTATTGAAAAAGAAACGCTCATTTATTTACTTTCCTGGTCTGGCCTTCTTGGCAGGACTGTAAATGTGTGGTGTGTGGTGTTTGCCTGAGTATTACATGACAATGAGCGTCTACTATTCCGTCTTCATTTGTTACCTGGGCTGCTGCTATCCAGGAACACTCCCCTTCGTTAGCCATATCCTTAAGGAAAGGATAAAATAAATGCCTGATCTTTTCCCTTTGCTAGTTTTCAATGCACCAAGATGGTTCTCTCAGACACTCCAAAGTGGATTAGAAGTTACCTTAGGAAGAATGATCAAAGAGTTGTAGATTACAATGATCCTCATTGACACTAGTTGTTTGAAATCCTTTTCAGCCAATGCTCCACCCATGAGATACTTGTACACTTGGCTACCGGCATGCCCTCATGCTTAGCGATGGAAGAGGGTTTTACTCAGGTCTACATTCATCGCTTCCTGGGTAGCCCATCTGCTGGGAAGGCAGTGGAGGGACACTTATGTTTCTGAAGAAAACAGCACTTAGAAAAAGGAAGTACAGCTATGTAATATGTTGAAGGTACTTTCCAAAAAGCAGACCTGACATTTTTATATTACCCCAAAGAATACTATCTTCAGAATAATCAAATGTGTCACCAAGTGTGGCTGCAGCACTAAGTGAACTTTTGATCATTATTTGTAACAAGTGTGAATCTTGGGAAAAGTGAATACTTGTTCTCTAGCAGGTTCCCCAAGAATCCTGGTTAGGACACCCACTTGGGTGAGCTTCAAGTTCACAAAGTGGCCTGTGGAATATCTCTGAGCCTCCTCAGTTGTGTAGACACGCATGTACACATCAACTTTTTCTTGAGGAGAAAGTCCCTAGCATTTCTTAGTATCTCAAAATCTTCAGGTCTCAGTGTAGGTACTACTGGAACTGAATAACCATTCATACGGGAGATGTCCTCTGGCTTGTGGCTATTCTGATGACTGCTCAGATGCAGACAAGGAAGCTCATGGAAGCTTCAAGGATAAAGTGTATCACTCTTTGAAAGGTGTTTGTCAACTTAAAAAAAGCCCGTTTGTGGCTGCGATCACCTATGTCTTGCAACCCGACTGCTCCTAAATGTCCCAAAGACAAAGTTTATTACTAAATAGTTTCATCTTGAGGGAGAAGCAGGAGTTGACATAGAGGATGATAAAGAAAAACAATGGCCACTTTTTCTGTATCTCGGCCATCATGATTCACAGAGGTCTTAACGATGCATTTTCTGATGCCTATAAAATCTGTTAACATTACAGTTAGCCAATTAAATCTGAAATAAAATAAGCAAGCATTGTGTGCTTCATCTGCATTAAAGAAGTATTAAACACAAAGTAGCATGAAAGTAGCTGAACACTTGTAGAGGGTCAGGTGACATTTGTTTTAATACATGGTGATTTGATGAGGTTATCACCTTATTGACTGCTGGCTAATTAGATGACTTGGTCTCCTCCTTTACCATTTTATGTGCACACAACCTGAAATGGAGCACTGAGTTTAAGAAGAACTTCCAGTTAGGCATTATTTATAGTTTGCTGAAAATACATAAGCCTATTCTCTGGAAGATTTCTCTTCAGCTCCAAGTTGGAAGGCAACCAGGAAAGATGGTAAGGCTTATTGTAAGTCACGTACATAAAGCACATTGACTAGGTAATTGATTACCTAATGCAGATCCAAAGAATTACTAGGAGGGTGCATTTGCAAACATAAATGGTTAACCTTCTACTCTCCCTCAACCCTGGTCTGGATTCATCAAAATGCTATAGGCACGTTTAAACACCACTTGTGACTCTGACTTTGAAACAAATTTTAGAACTCCTGGGCTGTAAGACTGAATGCTCTCAAACATAAATGCAGTTGATGAAGGCTATTCATTTCACATATCAGTTTCTGAGTCTTTCTAATTTGGAAGAAACCAAAGAAACACATGTTTTAGATACAACATCATTCCTCCTATACTTGGACTGCCACTGGCTTCCATAATTTCAGAAGCCAGGTAACTCTGAAAGGAATGATATTCAATGTGGTACCTCCAAGATGATTAGAAAACTTGCTGTCTGGTGTTACAGATCAATTATTGGTATAGCCTACATTTTTGAATTTGAATTTCCAATATTAGGATCTGAGACACCTAAATGGAAATATCAAATTTATAAATTAATTGGGATGTTTTGCTCTTAGTTTTATTACACAGCCAGTAAGTGCCCAGATGTTCATCTGTGTTCATACGATCATTATATGAGTATGCTATGTTCACGTTTATCTCATAAGATTCACCATATTGATGTAACTAAACCTTTCTCTTACTCATCAGTGCATGCTGAAATTATAAAACTTCTTTTAACTTTTCAGAGACCTGCCACATCAACATATTCTAGTAGATGCTCCCAAAATATCCATCAGGCAAGAAACCTTTAGGGTGATTATGTGTGTGCTTTCTTTAATTGTATAATTCATTTATACAGAAAAATCATTTGGATTGATCTATTTACAATTTTTTTCCAATTCTGCACTTCCACTGGCCAAACATATTTCACATAATAGTCAACAATGACTTGAATTGATCACCATTATAAATTTATATGACATTGGGCATAAAAATCCTCCCACCCCCTCCTTGTAATGATTATCATTTCATTTTAACAGAAGCATTTTGCAGTAACAGATTCACCAATCTTTTCTCCATATTATGAATACATCCACCAAAACTGATCTAATGTGGCCCAATTTTAAGACATTTCATTGTTTCTTTTCAAACTCATTATCTGCAGGTACTATAAACCAAGACAAATAAAGTCCACTTCCCCTCGAGCCTTCTACAACTTACTATACTCTCTCAAATTGAACTTTTCTATCTCCTTTCATATTCTGGTACAACCAGACATTTTTACTTTAAGACAAATCTACTCTCTTTCCCCTCTTTTTATTTTTTTACTTACACCAGACTGCCTTCTCTCTTGCTTTTCAGACAACACTAAAACTTTCAACAAAATCCATGAGGTGGTTTTCTTTCAGTAGTCTAGAACATACTGACTCATTTCATGTGTCTTCACCACTCTGATATGCTATAAAATGTAAAAATTATAACCTTCTAATCGGCTCAAACACAGTATGGCTTGGTTTCACTTGGTAAAGTTAATATGATTAAAAAAATATATATATATACACACACACATACATTTTTAATCAGGAAGAAAGACACTTTAAAGACATGCCAATTTAAAAAGGCATCAAAGTAAAAAAATAAAAGCAAATACTAAAAACTACTTTACAATAAAAAAATTAAATAATTGGCAGGTTAAATGAATGAAAAAAATGAGGAATGTGCAATGAGCAACAAACTAATATGAAGCATTCCAGTTTGATGAAATGAAAAGTCTATGAAGTTTTATAGTTTGCTTTCTGAGGAAACTGTTTCATTATAAATTTTAAAGTCCTCTAACCATATATTCCACATGGATTTTAGGTATCAATATTCAAACTTCATATTCTGCACACAAAGTTTATCAAATAAACATTGGCAGAATTTCAGTACTTGTAAAATTCTAAGTTTTTGAGAATATTGTTAATATTACAACTGGTAGGTCTGGAAAGTCACAAGTTCAGAATTAGGAGAAAATCCATTTCAAAAGTATTTCATTTGATTAAAAAATATCAAGATTGTATGTTCTAAGTAACCCAAGAAAATATCTTTGGGGGAAAAAAAAACAAAACCCTGTAATTTGACAGTAATTCATGTATCTTTAGCTGCCATTAAAAAAAAAAAAAAAAAAAAAACAAAAACCAAAAAAAGAAAATACCCAAAACAATGAAAATGTTACAGCTGAAACAAAGTAACTCTATGATGCTCCCATGCTCACATTACAAGAAAAATTAAACTGTACACATTTATAAATAAACAGTCTCTCCACAAGTTAATACACAGAGCTTCCTTTATACCAAAGTCTCTTTCCGCTTGCCACCTAACTGGGCTTTGTCCCTTGCTCTGTGGAAGCCAGACTGTGCTCGGTGGGCCTTGGTATCTTCTGTTTGTACACTGGAACTGCACTCTGGAGTGTTTTCATCAACTTCTACCTGAATCACACTAGAGGCTGTCGATGCCCTTCTCTGAGCCCTGAGGTTCCCAGCAGAAGGCTTGTTCTCCTCACACTCTTCGTGGAGTTCTGGCAAATCCTGAAGCTCTGGTGGACTGGTGGCCTGCTGGAAAGGGGCAATGGCTGTTCGAATACAATTGAACCACTGCTGCTTATGAAACACGTCATTGGCTTGCAGAGTATGAGACTGGCCTGGAGAGGGGTCTTGGAAGCGAACTCTAAAGATATTTTTAGCTGAAAAGATAAAAGTTGAGAAAAGTAAATTAGACTTTGTTTATTCTACAGGCAGTGGCCACACCTTTTTAGATTTTTGAATGCAAGTGTCTGAGAGATAGCGAGAGAAACAGAAAATGAGACAGAGAAGACAGAGCTGTTACCCACTGGTTTCTTTTCCAGATACAAACACAAAGGGTGGATCAGGGCCAGGAGCTGGGACTTCAATCAAGTCTCCCCAATAGCTGACAAGAATCCAGTTCCTAGCACTGTGTCTCCCAGATGAGAACAGGAGCATGTCAACTAGTGGGCTAACTGCTCAGCCAAGTGTGGCCCCTGGTTATACAATTAAATTATGTATAACTGCTGGTGTTAAGAGCTTCAGAGAGCCTGATGACTCAGTAAGTATAACAAGTACAAGAACACAGAATTATTCCAGGTTTAGATTCTTAAAGATTACAACTAAATTCAGAGGCAGCTATTTGGCATGGTGGGTAGAGATGCCACCAGGGACATGCCCAACCTGTAGCAGAGTGCCTGGGTTTAAACCCCAGCTCTGCTGCTTCTTGCTTCCTGCTGATGTGTATTTGGGAGGCGACAGATGACACTCAAGTCCACCCGGCTCCCTGAGCTGCAGACTCCTGACTTCAATCTGGCCCAATCCCAGCTACGGTGTCTGGAGAGTATACCAGCACAGAAGATCTCTGTCTTTCAGATAAAATGAAAATGAATGAAGAATGAAAACAAAAATCCCAATTATAGGCCGAAATTGTTTCTTTCAATCATTTTGAAACTTAGATTTTACCTTTATCTGAGTTGCCAAAAGCTCCTCGGAAGGACCCTCCCATGCGCACATCCCCATCCTGCAGGTCTTCCAGGACTAGCTCCTGGACTGGGATTGGCTGCCGGTAGACCTGGTAAGAGTGGCGTTCATTTCGTGTAACAGGCCGAGTCAAAACCAAAATGTCTTGAAACAGAAAAATGTAAAGTTTCTGGAAAAGGGGAAAACAAATGCTTTTTAAATAAATTCTGTGATTTTAAATGAAATATACTGTTTAAAAATCCTAACTTACAAAGCAGGTGTTTGAAAAGTTCATAATGAAATAACATCAATTCTATAATATTTGGTTCTGGTAGGTTCTTTCATAGTTAATATTTTGGACATAAATTTTGTTTTCATTCAATCTGAATAAATTTGATGAATAGTAACAAGACTTTCTATAACTATAAACTCAAAAAAATTTTAATAGTATGTTAAGAACAAGTAGATTTATGCTTCAAAATTAAAAAGCAAAGATTAGTGAGTCTCCTCTGAGGTATTTAAGTTACTTATTCTGTTATAGAAACCAAAATGTGCTTTAACAAAGCTGATAACATAAAAACCAATAACCTTCTTTCTCTATGCCATTAATTGATTTTTACAAATCTATTTCATAAGTTACATGCAAAAACTGAGTGTTGAAGTCACAGCTTACTTCTTTTTAGTATTCAAAAGAACTTACGTGTCCATTTTTATTCTTCAGTTCCCCATGGCACAGCAACACTTTGCTAGCTTCAATCCTAGGGTCCTTCTGCTTTTCATCTAGATACTCTAGCTTGTCAATGTAATACTGACACTCAGATTCTCCTTTCTTCAAGTTGATATCAGAAAGAACTCCTTGTATTATCAGCACCTGAAGATTATAAAAATATTGATGGAGCAACTTCAGTATATTGATTCATCCTGCTTTCCTACTGGGCAAAAATGTCACATAAAATAGACTTTCCACATTGGAAGGACTCTAAAAATCAGTTACTTCAGCAGGTGCCTTCATTCGGATGAGGAAACAGCCCCAGCCCAACTGAAGGGATGAGATTAAAATATAGCCCCTTGGTTAGCACATCAATGTAAAATGTGGTAAGTGCAACAGTGCACTAATGTACTGGGTACTTAACAAAACACTTCATAATGCTGATTCAATATATAAAAAATTTGAGATGATCACATTTTATTCCTTTCTAAGGCATCTAATGTATACACCTGAATAATAAAAGAATCATTTACTGGAGTACTTACAGCTTCCTCCAGAAGCTGAACATCAGGATGGTCTTTTGGAGTGTGCCTAAGAATTTCTTTCAGCAGTAAAGGGTATTTGACTAGGCGACTTCGAGGGATATCAAGGAAGCTCCAAAGATCAAGTTTTCGACTGAAGGGAGACTCAAGACATCGCTGAAGGAAGTCTTGGACTCTTGGATCTTGTTTCTTTTGATCAAGAAGAGCTTTGGCAGCGAGCTGGTTACTACAATATCCTTTGTAGGCATTCAAGCCTGGCAACTGAATAATAAAAAGGAGAATGTGTAATGTCTATTTGTTAAGACTGACTGCATTAAGAAGCCTGTAAACAAGAGATACAAAACATAAAGCCAATCTTGACACACAGAACAAGTTTGGATATTTTCCTAATGATGACAACAGGAACTGAGTGGTACTCTGGGCCATCATCAGAATCTCCTTTTCTAATTCCCTCATTTGGCTCAGTTCAACTAGATTTATAACTACTACTGCTCGCACCCTCAGACAGATGCTCAGTCACCTTTGTTTCCAAAACACCCAAGCACCTTCTACCACGCTTAAATACACTGGACTATTTTCTCACTAGACTGTAGATGCAAAGACTCTATCAGCACTAAATTCCCCAGTGAGATCTTCTTTGAAGAGTGCCCAGCATCTAGACAGCACTCAAAAAGCAAGGAAAAGAATACAACAGATTAACCAAGAGCAGATAATGTGGGAGGTTCGGCCCAAAGCAGACACATACCTTCGTAAACAGATATGTAAGACAATGAAACTGTAGCACCAAGAATGAAGTTTTCTTTAACATAATAAAAAAAGGAAGGTAACTCTTACTTTCACATGATTTAACTATGCCTCATCTGTTTGTAGCATCTAGTTATGAGATCTAATTGACTTGAGATTCATCATAAACACGAACATCTAGGAAACAATCTGTGGTTGACAACTTGCCACATACCCAGTTCACAAGAATGTGACCAATTTGCTCGACTGTTCCATCAGGTTTGGTTGCTTCTGCTATTCTTGCCAACAAATCTGAGGTGTAAAAAGAAAGACAAGGAACAGCTTTATTTAAAAAACAGGTCAGCATTGCATTGGAAGTTTAAATCTAAAATTACTTGTGTTACTGCTGCTCAAATTCTAATGACAATCAAGTGGCATGTCTCACCTTCATGGAGAGGTATGTAAGAGTCCAAATCACCAAATATGTGTGTGAGTTCCTCTTCTGACATGATGGATAACTTTAACATGGGGTCATGGTAGGCCTATCAGAAAGAGACACAGTCTCAAACACAGATTAAGCAAAAACAACATGAAAAATCTGGATTGCAAAAATGGCTAAGTATATAAAAACCAGCAGAGAAGTTGTTTACTACACATAAAACAATCAAAAAGTACATTGATCCTTAAGTATGTTCTCCTACCAACACTCATTTTTATAGTGATATGTCTAACTCTCATCTAAAACACATATTCACAAAAAACCCCATATATTCACATAGATATTTTCTACTTTTATATTTCTAAAGATTAAGAAAATGATCTTTCAAGCATCTGTGAAATACAACTTCAAAAAATATAGTATCTAACAAAAAATTATTTACTGACCTTTCTTGCAAGCTTGAGATCCTCGATTAAATCCTGTTCTCCCCGAGTCATTTCATATATTGCCTAAAAAACATCCACCAAACATCAGGGTCACCCATTGCTTTAATAAAGGCAAATATATGCAACTGATATTTACATTACATAACTGAAGCTTTGAGCAGTATTTTGCGACTCAGTCTTGAAAACTAAATTCAGAATGGAATTTCAACTAAGAGGTTGTCACATATTTGCTAATTTTGTCCTATTAAAGCTGTTTAGTTTGTTGGCATCATGTCATATTATTTGCCATGCTAACTGTTGCTCAAATATGAAAATTTAACTTAATTTTGCCTCAGGAATTAGTTCTCTAATCTTCTGACAGTATACACATACTTAAAAAAACAGCATATTTTTGGTACTGTCTAGTAGGTTTGTTCCGGTCCGGAGTGCTAACATACCTCCTGACGTTTAATTTCTCTGGTGGTTAAAGACTCCTTCATACTGCCGTCGAACATCTCTGACCACAGCACACTGCTTCGTCTTTTGGTAGGTGTTGGGACTGTTGACCTGCTAGAGGACTTCTGGACAGAGGCTGGGGATCTGTGGTCACCACGAAGTGTAAATGACTTAAAAGAAGAAGTGAGGCAAAAGATAAATAAAAATTTGGAGGATAAAATATTCTCTTCTTTAAGTAGAGAAAGCTAAATTAAAAACAAAATTCTGAGGATTTTCAATACAATTATGTAATCTTCAATCCATCATCCTAAAATATTTACCAGCTAAAACTGCTCTCTGGAAATCAATTATTCAAGACTAGATAAAAGATGTGACTTAACATAATGAGCTTATATAACATCATTATAGTATTGATATTCCTTATCAGTATATTCCACAGTGAAAACATGTTTAAGCACACTTGTGCAAACTTGTCTGTGCAGCTAAAAAACCAAAACCCAAACCAAAACAAACAAAAAAATATTAAAAACAAAAAACCCAAACCAAAACAAAACACAGCTAATTTCAGGCTTTTACTAAAAAGTCTCCTGACTACATTTCCTCCCTCCCCTGCTTTTTTTTTTTTACCTGTATTGTTTGACCAAAGCGTCTGACTGCTCCATTTCTTACAGGAGAGATTAAATTTGCCAAGGATGTGACTCGAGCTAGAGGTCGAACTCTTTTATTGCTTGGTTCCTATAAAAACAAAATCAGGTTACACTAAATGTGTGTTTATCTGCAATGAGTTCATACAAGCTTAGACAAAGTTAAGCCTCTCAGAAACTATCTGTACACTGTAAACGCAGGAAATATGAAAGTCTGACAATGAACAGATATTCTCCCTGTGAATACAGTAAGAGTACTATTGAGTTATCAGTGATTTACCAAAATATATATGGTGAAGAAAGGCCAGTCAATATCTGAATATCACTTTGAGAACATAAGAGTACAATTAGAAGAAAACTAATTTTAAAACAAAGAAAAAAGTTAGATTCTAAAACTCTACAAAATTATTTAGCTTAACATGGAGAAAAGTTTTAAAAAGGTTCAAATACATTTAAGACAATAGTATAATGAGTCCCATATATCCATCACTCAGCTTCAATAGTGTTCTATATAACAACTTCTTTCACTTCTGGCCTTTACTTGAATATTTTCAAGCAACTCCCAGATATTTTCTGATTTCATTTTTTAACTGTTTCAGTTACAGAATAATCTTTATACAAACATGATATCTGAATGAGTCAAAAGGTGCTAAACCAAGGCAGAGGAAGTGGTTCAATGAGTTCTCAGTTTCTGAAATCAAATTCTCGGACTCAAAATCTGGTTCTAGTATTTGCTGAGGCACACCCGCAGTCTTAGTTCCCTCATTTGTGAAATAGGGCTAGTAGAATTCCTCTTAGAAAGTTGTTTTGATCACTTAATAAGTAAATAGAGCTTAGAGCAGTGCTTGATACACAGTGAATTTCAATTACTATAAATATTTTTAAGGGATATTGACACTACATAGCATTGGAATTTATAAAAATTGGATCTCTCCCATATATCTATTAACTTAAAAATATAAAAAATTCAGAATAGCTAGTTACTATAACTTAAAAATGTCATTCATATGGCAAATATATTGCTGATCTTTACAGGTTCTCAATACTTCAAAAAAACTGCTCCATCTAATTTTATTGCTAGGAAAATGGAGGCATACCCTGAGGTGTCTCTACAGTAATTGAAATAAAGTAGTGAAACAGGTGGATCTAATCTTTATAACATCCAAGGGCATATTTTGTTTGTTTATTTACTTTTTCATTGCATTTGATGTTGACAATTATGGCATACCCAACAATATAATTCTTAAGAATATATAATTAAAAATTACATCAGAATTATGGTTTTAAAGTAAAAGTTGCTTAAAAAATAACAGATTTTTTTTTCTTAAAAAATTTTTTGGCATGATTAAGAAATAAAGTGAGGAAAGTAAGTAAATATAATCTCTTTCAAATAATTTAAGAATAAACTGGCAGACAGGGTTTTTAAAAAAAGTATTTGGAAACCCATTTAAATAATTTGAACATACAAAGAAGAAATTAGAATTATCAAAGCTCCTGGAAGATAAATGTATTTCAGAATTATGAACTACCAGAGTAAAGAGACTTTGTAGATAGAAAATTCAGACCTCGAAAGAATTTACAAGGTGGCGTTGTATGACTTTTTCCAACTCCTAAATAATGAACTCTAAATGAAAATTGTGACTCTAAGGCCAATAAGGCACGAATGTTGACTGAACTGAAAGAGGAACCCTCGAGATGTATAATGAGATGGCACAAGCTGTGTAGCTGAGGACATGAGTGAATGTCTTCACTACACACATCTGTGCAGACTGAGTGACACATGCGTGTGCAGAGGCCAGCACAAGGCATTCCTTTCCATTTAGTAAAGACAGTACAAAGAGGCTCCTGTTTGAACGGAGATAGAATTACCTCACAAAGTAAGATATGCCAATATCAACCAGACAAGGCAGTTGCCACAAAGGCTAGCTATACTTTTTTGGAAACAAAGGTTAACTCTTCTTCCTTGTTTAAAACATAATAAATTTTGAGTTCCCACAATATTTAATTGCTAGTTGGGGTCTCTGAAAAGTTGTTCCTTCTTGTGAATTAAGGAAAAATTTAACTAGAAAGAAAAAAAAGTGATACTTGTTGTATCATACAAAATTAAACCAATGAAAGTTCTTACCTCCAAAGTTACTGCATAATCACTAATTTCTTGGTAATATAAAAATTATGTGATATTTAAAATATAAATTAAGGAATTTGATAACTAAATGTAAATATGTCTGAAGAATGTTTTGTAATGAATATAGATTTTGTTCACACAGTCTCTTTAGAGGGGCAGGATATTATGCTAACCAGTGTTTGATGGCCAAGCATGTCCTGGTTTTTAAAAGCCCAACTATAATCTTTCTTCCACAAAGGTCATGTTACTTTTCAGAGCTGATCGAATATGAAATGCTTTGCTAACCCAGTATGGAGCTAAATCAAGAAATGTGGAAGGGCGAAGAGGAAGGGTCTGCCGCAGTTTTTGTTTTGACAACCCAACAGTCATTTTCTGCCCTCCTCAAACGGTATCTGTGAAGAATGGTGGACAGACACAGCACAATCTTTTTCTAGATATATTTCAAAAGTATGAAAAATTTTAACAACTTTAGAGTTATATTTATGAAGGGTAAAGAAATAATACTGAAAGCCTAATACTACTTTCAAGACATATGCAATATCTGAAAAAATGTCAAACAGCAGACTAGTGGAAAAGTGATATGGGTTAGGCATTTGTGGGCCACTGAAAATACTGGGAAGAAATGTGTCTCCTTTGGAGTTACGGTGAGTCACAAACGTATTTATCTTTAAAAGCTCAGGCGAACCATTTTAATGATCTGCTTTGGTTATCAAGAAACTGTACTGTCATAACATATTTTAAGACCAGGCTTTCACAGAACAGGCAGTAGACCTCCATTTGCCTGCCCCATGGACAGGACTCAGGTACTAAGTAGTTAGAGGTGATGAAGAAAAAGAGCAAGAACTTATCCCTCTAAGCCACCACCAAAAGTAAAGCTTGCATCATTCATTATTCGTTGTTTGTTTTTGAGTGCTGGCAACAAGTTAAGGTAGATACCAGGCTGACAAACATGGATATTAAAACTACACAATCTTCTCAGAAGGTAATCTGAAAATCCATGAGAATAAACAAAGAATACCAACAAATTTTACATGTTCAAGGAAATTTCATTTGTAGGCATCCTTTTACCAGGGTAAAAGTTCACTTGGGAAGGAAAAAACCGAACATCCTGCAAGCTAAGTTTATGTTGTTTACCTACGTTAATTTTTAATCAGACTACCTAGCTAAGCAGTCACATGAATGATTACACAGGATCTGCATTCAAACTGGGCTTTTGATTAACCAGTTCCCATAATCCACTCGCAGTTGGGTTTTGTGCTCTAAAATATTTCAGTTTTTTATTAAAACATTAAATATTTAAACTGCTAAAGTTCTTTATTGAGATGTACCTCATACATAAATTCAATCAAATGGAAAATTCCTTTTGTGACTGTATCATTTTTTTTTAAACATAGGTTTGATGCCACTTAGGAGGACATATTTTTAGAGGACATATTTTACACAGTCAAATCAACACTTAAAAATACAACAGTAAATGAGTATATTCATTTTTGGTTACTGCTCCTCTCCTACCTGGTAATAATTTTAAAGTAAAAAGAATAAAAACAAAAAAGTTCTTCTTAAGAAAATTTAAAATGATTTATGGTCACCTTAGAATTTCTCCCCTTTCTACTTAGCAACAGACTATTCTAATTATTTATTTAAGGCTGCGTTGCTAGTTCTAAAATCCTGACAACATTCTTGGTACTTTTAATAATCAGAATAAGCAAATGCCAGAAATATGACCAATGTTTGAGACTAAGCAGAAAACAAAAAGGTTAGCTAGTTCTTGATGTCAAGAAAATTATTAGTTTCAGTGTTTGTACTGATGACCTCACTTGTGACTTGTACTCAAAGGAAACGCTTATATACTTAAAAAAACTGACGCGTATGAGCAAAAGGCAAAAACAAATAAACCAAAGCCAAACCACAAGGAATAAAAGCACACATCATAAAGAAGGCAGCTATTTTAACTAGCAAAACGTGTGAGTATGTTTGTGTAGGACACAGAACTTTACTGAAATATATAATGAATCACACATACCTGAAGTACATAATTACCTAAGTTCTGATATATGTATGTGGCTTTAAAACCATTACCACAATCAAAATACAAATGTAGAATAATATTTATATGGTGTAAGTGACAATGTAGTATATACCACTGACAATATGTTGCATAAAAAGAACACCATAATTACTAAAGCGACTGTCAAGATTGAACGGAATGGCATAAAAATAATTTGATTTTGAAGAATGTTCATAGTGACTTAATAAAAACATAATGACTTCAGACTATCAAGGAGAGTCTATCCTTCAGACTATCAAGGGATAGATTTTAAACAATGATTCAGTAAGTTAAACTAACATTATCTTATACTTTCTGGATAAAATGTAATATGTAATGAACTTTTTGGGTGTCTTAAAAATAAACAGGCACACCAAGTCAGCACAGAATTTGTTCACCAGTGTTAACGCCCAAAAGAAGATTCTTTCCCTCCCCTCTTATTTCAAATAAAGCAGTTCTTAAGAGAGGATAATATACACCCCACTCAAAAACAAACCCGAGTACATTAAGCATCAGAAATGGAACAAATATAACCAGAGTGGCACACAGATTAAAAATCTTTTTGTGCAAACTTGTGCATATGTTCAAGCTATGCTATATATAAACCTATTTAGATCACAATCCAGAAAAACATTTCACGCTTGCATATGTATCAAATCTGTACATCAGCACTCACTAAATTCAAACCTTAAAATTACACTGTTAACAAACCTAGAAATGTTGAAATTCTGCGGCAAGGAAACATTCCTTTGGTTTTAAAGTCTTACCTCTTGTTCTCTGAAGGACTGGTTATTAACGTCTAGGACTCGTATAGTCCTTTTAATGGGTAGGAGACCTCCATTCTCATCATGCGCCACCATGCTTTACCAGTGCTCCTTCAAATCTCTCAAATTAATCCACATCCAAGTCAGCCCTGTCAGGGAGCGCTGCGGAGGCGCAGGGGCTTTTCTTCTGTGGACTCAGCCACCTTTGGCGGCCATGTGCCCATGCCTCTTCCAGCAGAGGAGCTGACTTCTGCTAGCAGCAGGACCAGGCACGCAGACCTCTGGGCTCCGGGGGCGGGCACAGCCAACAAGGCTCGGGGGCGGGGCCGGACGCCCACGTGACTCAGTTAACTGGTGGACACACCTTAGGCGGCTCAGGTTTCCCTGCGCCAGAGAAAGCTCTTTATCAAAAGCTTTGGGATTTCTACAGTAAGAGGAAAAGGAAGGAAGAACCTGGGCTGGCATAAAGCAGAAACGTCTCTTCCGGACTTAAAAAGAGAGGTTCCAAAGGAAAAGGAATTGCTGTTACCTACACCAGCTGCTAAGAGACTGGCAGAAACACTTTTTCTACTGCACCCTAAAGTTTAGGACAGACTTTAGCATGGACAACTTCAGAACTTCAAGAAAACAGTAATTCAGGGTTAAATAACTGTATATTAAAGAAAAGCCACACCTGTGAAACTATGCAGTCTTTCTAAAGAGGTTCTCATCAGTTTTCCTTACGACCAGTCGTGTAAATACAGTAGGCACATTTGCATTCACTTTTTTCCTAAAGTAAAACTGCCAGTAGATTATGGGTAAAGTATAATTGGGTTACTTCAGATATTTAAAGTTTGGTATTTCTCCTTCCCTATGCATCACTGCCTTTCAAGTAAATAAATCACTAGTAACAGAAAAAAGTTTATTTAAAATAAGTTTGGGATTTCTGAGCATTAAGAGAGATTTTTTTTCTGTATATCCTAAATATTATATAACCTACGTCTGCTGGGTGGAAGGCCTGCAAAGAAGATTTTTTCCCCCTTAATACAAAATACTGTACTCTATTTCAAGTGTCAGGATTTTTATATTAACCGTGTATTGCTGTAATGTGGTTCTAGTAATTTCCAACAGCGTTTCTATTTTTAGGATATTTTTAAGCTCAGAGAACTCTGGTACATTTAAGGCACTATTCTAGACACTTAGACTCAGGGAAAGATCAGTTTCATATTTGCTCCTAAAATATTAACAAATCCATGAGTAACAGGACATTACTGAAGAAACAAGATGGCTTTTGCAAATTCCAAAATAAGTTGTATAACTAGTAAGTGCTACGACAGTTTATGAGAAACCACTTTCAAGTTAAGACATGGCTAGAAAAGACTAGGGGGGAAATTTTAAGATGTTACTTCAGTGGGGCCTTGAATGCCACATTATTTTTACAGATTTGAGCAAAAGTGCAACAGGATAAGGGAGTAAACCCACAACGTAGGGTTAAGAGCCATGAGTAGTCAGAGGGAGCAGAAAAGGTTAATGAAAGCTGCAATAAAGTAAGATATATTTGAGGCCTGCACGATGACTCAAAGGCTAAATCCTTCCCCTGCAAGTGTCTCCATCTCATATGGGCACCAGTTTTCTGTTCTAGCTGTTCCACTTCCCACCCAGCTCCCTGCTTAGGGGAAAGCAGTAGAGGATGGCCTAAAGCCTTGGAACCTTTGTGGGAGATCTCGAAAAAGCTCTTGGCTTTTGTTTTTGGATTGGCTCATCTCCAGCCACTGCAGTCATTTGGGAAGTGAACCTGCGGATAGAAAATCTTTCCTTCTGTCTCTTCTTCTCCCCATAAATCTGATCAGCCTTTCTAATAAAATAAATCTTAAAAAAAAAGAGATATCTTTGCATATTTCTAGTTTTGAAGATGAATTGAAGATTACTAGGTACATGCATAAATCATAATCAGGTCACTGCTATGGCACACAGTAGTGGGAAAAGAAAAGGCTATATTCAAGAAATCACAAATGCTTAAGATTTTAAAAATAGAAGAGGCAACTGTTAACACAAATAATTTTTTCATTAGTTTCATTTTAGATATACTGATTCTGACTTGATATTATTTAGGGAGTAGATAGCAATGTGGACAACACCTTGGAAAAGCCTGGGTTAGATTTAGAAAGGACAATCAGATGCAGAGAGTGCAATGGAAGCTTGGGGAGTGAATTAAATGTCTGGGAAAGAAGATGTGGACAAAAGACATGAGCCTAAGGACGCACCTTTGAAGGAATGCCAAGGGAAAGAAAATTTTGTAAAAAGCAATAGAAAAACAAAATTAGAAAAATGTTAATTATAGTAAAGATGCCAAGAAAAAAAATTATCTACAATTTAATGATTACAGTCTCTGAATTATAGTTTTTCTTTTATTTGAAAAGCAGAGTGATGCTCAGTGAAATGAGTCAATCACAAAAGAACAAATACCATATATTCTCTCTTACATAAGGAAACCAACATGGAAAGTGTAACTCTGGTAGTCCAATCCATACTGTTTTTTGATTGTTCATTTGCTTTTTTGGCTGTATCCCATATGTTTTTTTTTTTTTTTTTTCAGTTTGGTTCCTTCCAAATAATGTCTTTTCTCTAGTCAAATTCATCATGTGCTCATGAATTATACGATGGCATCATTTTTCCCAAAAGACTTCTGTGTTTCCTTTTTGTCACTCATGTGTTGCTTACTCAGTGGCACGTTATTTTTTCAAGGCGCTATAATTTGTTGTTGATGTGGCTGTTCTAACTCATACCAGCTGCTGACCTTGTTACATGGCCTCTCACTTATGGTAATGTATAGTGATGGAGTACTGATGTCTATCATATACAGATGTGGGGGTACAATGGAACATGCATCCCTGCATCCAGACGAAAGATGGATTCCCAATGAAACTGTTGGACATGTGTAGACAATGGGATGCAGGACTGTCTGACTTTGTACCAGCAATGCCGGGGTACACTTAAATAAGAAACTGACAGAATTATGCTTCATTATGAAGGACTACACTATTGTAACAAAATGGGAAAAATCTGACAGGGGGTGGGAGTTTGGGGGGGAATCCCAGCCTATACAAAAATGTACCACATAATTCAAAATTCAAAATAAAAATATTTAAAAAAAAAAAGAAAAGCAGAATGAGCAAGAAAGACATCAAGTACCAACTTCCACTTTGATTTCTGGTTTAGTACCCAAATGCCTTCAACAGCCAAGGCTGAGGCCAAGAACTGGGAACTCAATCCAGTTTCCCATGTGGATGGCAGGGATTCAAGGTCCTGGACCATCACCAGCTGTTTCCTGAGGCCTGCATCTTCAGAAGGCTGCATTTGGAGGCACAGTGAGACTTAGATCCGGGTACTCTGATATGGGATGTGGGTACACCAAGAGGCATCTTAAATGCTGTGCCAAAAGCCCTACCCAGTGACTATAAGTTTAATGTACATCTTCAATGTGCTAGCTCAGTGCAATACAGACAGAGGTAAACATAACAGAGTTTGAAGTAACTAGAAAAGTAATGGTCATGGGTTACTTACAATGACAAATAATTGATAAAAGCAATTTACTGAGGTTTGCAGCAGGACAAAGCTACTCAGTGCAGAAAGGGCCACTGCTGCCTTTCTATACCTACAAATGTGCTTCATATTTTGGATTCTGTTGTCTAAAGAGAACATATTTTTCTAAAAAAAAAAACAGGGGCTGGTCACATTTCATTATTTTCTACACGTAGACAAGATGTGTACAGTGTTTTGCTTTAAGTACAGATGATATACTCTATATATTTTAAAATATATTGCTATCTTTTTTTAAAAAGATTATTTATTTATTGGAAAGTCAGATATACAGAAAGGAGTAGAGACAGAGAGGAAGATCCTCCGTCCGATGATTCACTCCCCAAGTGATATATTGCTATCTTTTAAAAAATACGTTTATTTTTATTGGAAAGGCAGATTTAGAGAGAAAGGTCTTCTATCTGCTGCTTCACTTCCCAACTGGCTGCAATTGCTGGAGCTGAAGCCAGGATCCAGGAACTTTCTCCAGGTCTCCCACACAAGTTCAGGGTCCCAAGGCTTTGGGCCATCCTCCACTGCTTTCCCAGGCCATAAAAGGGGGCTGGATGGGAAGTGCCGCAGCTGGGACACAAACCAGTGCCCAAATGGAATCCCAGCACTTGCGAGAGGAGGATTAGCTAGTTGAAACATTGCAACAGACCCTTCAATCTATTTCTATATAATTATAGTGGAGTCAGATAGAAACTGTGGCTTCAGGAACCCTAATTTTATAGGTAACAGCACTCATTTGCCTATGTTCTCAAAGCTAAGAACTGTGTATCCCAGCCCCCAGCCAGGTTCATGAGCTTCATGTGGCTGAGTGAAGGACAGTGGTGAAAGAAAGGTAGCAAATGAATCTGGCCTGCTAACTTCTATTGCAACTTACCTTCTAGACAACCAGATAACATACGCTAACTTCTAGCATGTGTCCTGGAACATATCAGGTGCTCAGTACCGGTGGTAGAACTGACTTTCAAAATTAAGTTTCTTGAGTTCCAGGCTATTTATTTAGTTTAATGTTCATTAAATAACTGCCAACATTCAATGCGGATATAAACCATAAGCAAAGTCGAGACTATCTTTCTTAGAGCACTTGCATAATGAGATGCAGCTCAGGCAAACTATAGCAGTTCTAGCTGTTAAGTTTAGAAGAAACTGTATTTCCTTATTTTGTTGTTGTTAAATTTTTATTTTGAATTTTTTGGTACAATTTTGTAGATTGATTTCCCCTCCCCAAAGATCCCACCCCCGACTGATTTTCCCCACGTTGCTACAATGGTATAGTCCTTCACAGGAGTCATGATTCAATCGGTATGTTATTTACATGTGCCCCGACACTGCTGGTACAGACAATCTCAGACAGTCCAGCATCCCACTGCCTACATTTTTCCGACAGTTTCACTGTGAGTCCATCTTTAATTTGAAAGCAGGGATGCACATTGCATTGTATCCCCATATGTGGATGTGGTAATCTCTATTACTCCATCACTATACATTCCCATAAATGAGAAGCCACAAAATAAGGCCAACAACCGGTATGAACTAAAACAACAGCAAAATTACAGCACCATGGAATCGAAAAAATGTGCCACAGAATAACCAATGCATGGGCGACAAAAAGAAAACACAAAAGTCAGAAGAGATCATATTTCAATCAATGGTAACACTTTACCATGTTTTGAATAGCAAGTATAAATTAGGTAGTAAAGTATTTCT